AGTCGGTGTTGGTTATTGAACACCTTGAACTAAAACCATTGAATCTGTTACCCAACCAACAGGAAAAGACAAGGGGTTAATAATCACATTTCCGCAGTTCTGTCAAGTCATGACCATGGCTTCAGATTTCATTTCACTTTCCTCCAACTCATAACTGAGAATTCAAGGTTTTAAGATGTTCTCTTTTTAATAACAATTTTGCCATTGCTTTAAAATTTTAGGACTTAACACTTACAAGGGTGCTTATATACAACACTAAAAAGAACCATCAAGTATAAGTCCGAGTAATATATAACAATCCAAAATTCGAACTTTCTGCACTTCTAGCTAGCAATCAAAAGAACATATAAGTCACAGACCTTACACACGCTTATCATAAACTCGATTAAAACTCTGACTACGAATTGAAGTCCAATTAAAATGCGTAAGAGCACTAGACTCAATAGAGCGCCAATACTATTTCCTTCACTTTCTTAGCAAACAATGATATAAAACTCAACAAACCAAAAACACAAGCTTTACCTACGAGAACCCACAGATATGTGGTTCAAATTCAACCATCGGCGAGAAGCGATGCGATAACAAATTCGAGAGGAAGGCCGTGGCGGCGCCGATGGAAACGAAGCTTGGCAAGCTGAGAATAAATTGAAGGACTTGAAGGAGAGAGAATATTGTGAGAGAGGGGCAGTGCAACCACAACCCAAAGCCATTGCTCCTGTTGCTTCAGGCTCCAAGGCTTCAAACACCAGTTGGGCTCTTGCCCACTCATGCAGCCTCCAAAACTAAGCTACCCTTTTGCTCAATTTCTCACTTCGGCTCGGAAAACACAAGCTAATCACAAAGGGTACCTCTCAAAGTTTAAGAACAGACTTAAAGTTGAGTTTTTTTTGTGGTTAACTCTTAAGTTTGTGTTTCAGAAGAGAGGAATTTGGCGCAGATAAATCAAAATCTTTCTAATGCTTCGAGTATGCCTCACGGAATTGAAGCCAATCACTAATGGCCCAGACTCCATGAACAACTTCGACTCAAAGTTGGGTTTTTGGGGGCTAAACTTTTCTGGTTATCATGAAAGCTCGAGGATTTTGGTGACAGAAACTCAATATTTTCAATTATTTTTCTTGGACGTATTTTTTGTGGGTTTTAGCTTGGTTTCATGGCCTTATCCATGCCTGTTGTTTCCTGAACCCGCCGGTTAGCGGACAGTTCAAAGTGGTCTTCCTGTATCGTGTGGCCCTAAAATTTGATGAGTCAGAGTACGAGGCTGTGTGGGGTCGGAGGGGAGTGTTGGGCCACGTAATTAACTACGTGGACCAATAATACCATGCCATGTTTCATATTGATTTTCCAAATTTCCTCATTAGGATGCGAAGCATTTGGTTTGGAATATGAAACATAAGCAGGAGTGAGGAGGACCCTGCAAAGCATACACACTTGATCGATTTCATTGTTTAATTATAATTTCAGCTTCTTTTGGCATTACAAACTATTTCTTAGTTCTAGTGGTACTAATATTGGAAGAGATCTCAAAAATACATATTCCCACCCCCCCAATTGATCAAAAATCCAAGTCACTTTTGGTTATAAGCACAACTCCTTCTAAGAGAGGAAAGAAAAATTAGGATTTACCTTGAAAATTTTCAAGTATCTTTTTAAAAAATTTAGGACGAGACCAACATTTATATTTAAATTTTAAAAAATATCATTTTATATCAACTAACTTTTAGTCTAATGGTATTTCCGTCTCCAATGTTTAAAAAAAAATATATATATTATCAATCTATAAAAGTTTGTCAAACCCCCTTATGTTAGTGAAGTTTAAGGTAAAAAGTAAATTTTGGTTTGAGAGATATTGGTGAGATCAATTCTTGAAGTCTACTTATGATGGGTTGACTTTTATTTTTGGTGCCATATTGGTGAATCTCTATTTCTAGTAACTTGGTGGCCTACCAAGTTGGTCGGTTTCCTACATTGGTGCCATATTAGTGAATCTATAATATTTGAATTACAATAAATCTCCATGTATAAATATACAAACGATAATTTAAATTACTCCAAATTACTTTGATTCATAAAAAAAGGAAATTCAAACTCGATAACATGCATTTTATTCCATTAACAAAAACAAATTACATCCTACATCTGGGAACATGTGGTACATATATAAGAATAAAGCAATAACAAATCAGATTTTCTAGAGTTCATACAGGGGCCTTTTATGGCTCTAACTTTGCTTTTATTTTGGCTGCTTTGCTAACCATCCATCTTGGTCTATGAATTTAGCTGCATTTGTTAAACCTTCCACTTCTTCATCCGATAGCTTCTTCTCCCATGTCACACGTTGGGACAAATCTGCCCCTGGTCCACTACAGTTTGCTTCCGAGTACGAAATTAAATCCCTGTTCCATAATTTCAAAATTAATTAATTTGAAAATAATCACTGTTTATCATGAAAATAAAAATTAACCACGAAATTATAAAACAGAAGACAACACTTACTCGTTGCCAGTGTTCCATGCAGCCATCCAGCCCTGTGGGGTAATAATATTTTCCATGTATGTCCCAGAAAACAAAACCCTAGAGTGATTGCCATATGCCCTTCCCAGATTTATAGGGCCTGTTCCAGATACATGGCAATCTTTGAACACAAACCCAGCTGGGTCGTCTGGGCCACCGCGACCATTGGCTGTGATATACCCAGGGAACCCTATCACGTCCGTCACTGAAACTATTTGGCATTTCTGCAAACAAATTTGAGTCAATGTAAGAATTCTTTTTCTATAAATGTTAATTAATAAAAAGAAACATGAGAAAAGTTTGAGGAGATTTAACCTCATAAAGTGACTGGCCAGAGCCAAAGATGAAGTCTATGGCACCTTTAACGGTGCATTCATAAAAATAGTGACGGCCTCGGGCATCACTCAATGTGTCTTGCACGCTAAGGAAGCTACACTGATAAAAACTTTGTTTGTCTCCATCGATTGCAGCTGCAACTGCCCAAGTAGTAGGCCTCCCATTGACATCCGCCATGAAGTCAATACGGTCGTATGTATTCTGTTGACACAGAGAGTTACGAGAGTTGTGAATATTTAAGACACAGAACAAACCACATCAGCTTAAACGAGCACACTTTACCTTGAATATTATATTCTTTGCAATGAAATTATCCGCGTGTGCTATAAATGTAGGACTTGTAACAACATTTCCACCATCTCCAAATTCAATCACAGGATAGTGATCAAGGTCTCCTTCGAGAATAATGTAGGGTTTGTCTTTAGGAACCACAACTTTTTCACTGGTGTAATAAAAATAGCACAATAGAGAGCAGTGAACTTATAGCACAGCTTAGAAATAAAAATATGTTGTATGTATACTTACACGTAGATGGCATGGTTGATGTGAATACGAGTCCACTGTGAGTTATTTGATGGGATGGAATCAATGGCTTGCTGGACTGTGGTAAAATTTCCATGGCCATTCTTATCGACTACGATGGTGGCGCTTACGACGACCTCGTCTTGAAGATTATAGCTCCGAGGATTATAACGTGCTTCCAATGCACCCAACATAAAGAAGAGAGCCAAGATTGATGCTACAAGGGACTGCATATTAGCAATGAGAACCTGAAGTATTGTATTCTTGGCATATGAAGATGATGAGATTTTTTCATCTTATATAGAAGATGAAAATGGTTCGGACCACTTAATCTAAATCTCATATTGGAAAGAAAAATTTCTACTCATAAACGTGTCAACGCGTTATCCATAAAATCTTCCAGAGTTAATTGGGATTTTTCATATGTATCCATTAATTTTACATCTTACTGATCATAAATATAAATAATCATGTCCTTAATTACATGCCAACAACACGTACTTGCCTTAAAGTTAAATTTTAACTGAAAAAAGCTAGAAAATTATTTTAGAAGATTTTTATAAAATTACTACTCCAACCATGGAGAAATTAAAAAATTATTGTGTAGTTAGTAATTAATTAACCCAAAATATTATATATATATATATATAATATTTTAATTTATTTTTTCTGGAAGCTGAGATTGAGAGGATGAAATCTACATATTAACATATTGGTGTAAGTTGTAACCCAAAAAAAGAAAGAAAAGGAAAGCCAATGCATTGACATTTCAAGTTCTTCGAGTTGACGCTGCATAAAATATTGTTACAGAAAGAAAAAAAAAGTAAATATGAGCAAGTACAGAAAATATTCAATATAGAGAAGGAATAAATTTCGTGCCATAATATATGTATATATATTTTTCTATAAACGGATTCTCGCCTAATGTGTTGACTTTGGTAGAAAATAAATACATATGATCAAATAACATTAATATTACACAATAAAAGTAACGTGTATTTTTAAAAATGGAAAATTGCCACCATGATCCATTGCAGGATCAGCGGTTTCAAATTTAAGCCATTCCCTGCAAATTTTGCAGCATTTTAATGATGAAACCCCATGCACTCAGGAATGCTTGTGTAAACCCCTTGTCCAATCGCTTGTACAGAAAAATAAAATTAGTGAAATGACTGTGTAGTTTCTTGTGTTTAAGGGTTGGTTAGTTTATGATGCTTCCTCAAAGTCCACTTGCTGCAAACTTCAGTGGCATGTAAGAATCATTTGTACATATTTTGGGTGTAACATGGTTTCACCAAAACAGTGAAAAATGACTGTTGTTTCTTGTGTTCTGCAACATTCTTATTCTACACCTTTTCACCATTATTCAATAAATCCAATATCATCCTTATATAAAAAAAAATGACGTTAAAATTGATTGAATGGCTAAACTATCCTAAACAACTCAGCCTTGGGACAGAGAACAGCTTTGTGTCAGTGGTAATTTCATTTTCATCTACCCCACAGTGGGTGGGGGGCTACGTGTAAACCCACCAGCTAATCCATTTTGCAGCAACACCAACATGCGCATAATGTGCATGTCTATGTATAGACAGATGGCTTTAGTTTTCGGGATTACAAATGTAGAAAAAAGACCAGAGTGAAGCTATCGAAGTGAAGCTCTCTCTCTCCAACATGAAGACTACTGAGAACCAGCCAGAGACTGAGAAAAATGGCTCTCAATGCCTTGTTACTATGAATTCCAATGTCACACTTTCTGAGCCTGATGATGAAAGCTTGCTGGAGTTGGAGAGCTCTGAGATTGAGAGTTTCTATCAGAGGCTCAACAAGTTGCACAACTCATCTGGGCTGAACCTTCTGTGAGTTTTCCTCACTTTTAGAGTTTTGGGCTTCTGGGTTTTCTCTTCTATTTTCTGTTTCTGTGTTCAAGTGGGTTTCAGGGGAATTTCATTATGTTTTTAGCTTTTGAAATGTGTTGAAAAGCAAGCTTTTTAAAATTTTTGGGAGAAAAGCAAGCATTTTCTCCTCCAGACCCGCCCAGGCCGCCTAGGCGGATTTTTCGAACACTAACTTTTGTTCATGTATACCATGTGTGGTTTTGAGAAAGTTGTGGGAAAAAAGAAAAGCAAAGTTAGAATCTTTGAAAAAGACGAGAAAAGTTGAAATCTTTGCTCACAAGAGGCAAAGTTGGGACCTTTGCTCAATCACAAGTTGGAACCTTCTAATTCAGAAATCAGTAGTGCCATTGAATATGTTGGGCATAAAACTTCAGATAACTCTTGTCAAATTCATAGTTGGCTTGATTATGCTACTTAAGTATGCTTAAAAGATTGATTCAAGCTTCGGTTTACTTATGCATGTGGAATATATAGGAAGATGATATATGATTATAATGCTCATTACTGGTTTAGATATTTTATCTTATATTCTCACTTGGCGATCTCTTCTGATCGATTTGTTTCAATGTGAAAATTAATCTGAGTATCCTTCTTTCAATGGGCAGTTTTGATCTCAGACAAACAACACTTGACTTGCATCTATTTTACAAAGAAGTTATTGAAAGAGGAGGATTTATTCAGGTTTATTTCTATCACTTGCTCATTCTTACATATTTCATTAGTGAAAAAGAAATGAATGATACCTTATAACCATCCAAAAGGTCTGTCTTGTGATCATTTATCTGAATTTCTGAACTTACACATTTGGATAAACTGTGTATAACTCTGATGCAAACCAGGGTTTGAATGGCATCTTTAGTTTAACCCTTTGTATGAATATCAATTCAAGATAAGATCAAGTGGTTTTCACCTTAAAAATTGAAAGGGATGAAGTTATAGCCCTACAGGACAAGAGATTACTGAGATTTGTAATGGTTAATTTCCAGGTTACCTCAGATGGGAGGTGGGGTGAAGTTGCACTGGCCCTAAAATTAGATGGAGAGAATCTGCAGGATCCTCAACCTCTTTTAAAACTCTATGCACTCTTTCTCTACCAGTATGAACAGCTTTACTATTACAGGGAACCTCGTGTGAAAGCTGCTTCGACTCTAGGTACAATAGCTAGAGATAACCTTCTAGAGAAGTGCATATTTTCAATTGGATTTGCATTTAATTACTTGCCTGGACATAAGAGTTTTTAGATACTTAATTTGTAATACAGTACCTTTATTTTCTTGGTATAAACTACATGTTTTAGCTAGATATCATAAAGGTGATGCTTAAACCTCACTAGGATAAAAATTTCAGGTCATGCTTTCTACAATACTGGAGATAGCTCAGCAATGGAAGGGAACTGTAGGGACAACTCATCTCCGATACCCAATCTTGAAGATGCTCTTGTGGAGAAGAAGAAGGTGCCCAAAGAGAATTATCAACTAACATTGATGGGTATGTGACTTTTGCTTACTTGGTAGATTAAATTCAGCAAACTAAAACGTTGCATGTTGCAATCATATATTGAATGGTCATCAAACTTATGAAGGAATAGAGTAGGCTTGAAAGGTGGTCTTACTGTTAAAGAGTTGTAATGTCAACGGTTGGCTTCATTAATTTCTGTATCAATTTGCATATATTGTGGTTGCTGTCAAAAGCTACAGTTTAGGCATAGATTTATTCTTTCCATTTTTATAAAGTTGTAAAGGTTTGAAGTACATAGTCTGAGATTCAATACAATTCACTCAATTCTCAAACTTTACACTTACATCTGCAAATTTGAGTCAAAACTTACTCAGAACCCCTTTGTATTGCAAATTTCATTAGGTTCTACATCTGCCGAACAAAAGCAGTTTCCCCAGCTGCGCTCAAAGAACAAAGAGATGAAGAAACGTGTCGGTGCTCCACGAGGGGCACAAAGTGCATATCATATCTTCCTCAAGATAGAATGTGAGCGGTTGAAAAGTACTGATTCAGGGAAAGTGAAGGGTCAAAATGTCCGATACATGGTAGACAACGCATGGAAGTCCCTCTCTGCGAGTGAGAAACAGGTAGAGTTACACCTAGATTTCTTCCTTGGTTGTTTAGACATTGCTTACTCAAATTTGTACATGGTCTATAATTATGTTTAGCCACTTAGTTGTATTCCTTTTTACATGCTTTATGGTATGCAGCCCTGACCTTACTATAGCAAACTTGTTCAACTGAACTGAAGTCCACCCTCTGGATGTTAATATGGTTTATTTGTTTTCCTTATAGCCATACATTGAGGCAAGTAAGAAGGTAAGGGAAAGAAGAGTGGCTCAAGAAGTGGCTGCTGATGAGGAGAAAATATTGACTTGCCAGAAGAAGACCTCAGAGAATGGGTTGACTGGAGTCAATGATGTGGTTCAATGAGCTAAAGGAACTCAAGAGCTTCAGTTGGGGTGGTTTTTGAAATGAAAGATGCTTTATATTGAGGGGAGGGTGGATCTTGTACATATACTACAATGACAGGTTTTCTGCATTAACTATGTTATTATGCTGTCTTTTTGTATATATTTTGTAAATGTGTTGCTCCCTGAAGAACTAGAATTTTAGCAGCCTTGTATTTTTGGTGGTGAAGCAGCTTCAGACAGGATTTGAAAATGTGTCCCCATCCCCCTTTCCCTTATTTTTGTAATCAAGAAGCTCTTTGTTGTATCCTCTTAATAGGATTTGCACCAATATGCCTTCTCCAAATTCCAATCATTATCTTCTATTCAACATACCCGACCCCTGAGTGAAGATTTGATCATAACTTCCAAACGAAAAGTCAGATTTTGAAGATCTTGATACGATTGGAT